TATACTTCTGACTGTGTGCAGCGACATGTGAGCGGGGCCCCTCTGTGCTTCGACCTGCATGTTCCATCAGCCCCAGTCAGCTTTGCAATGTCAGTGAGAGCTACAGTCCAAAATATTCAAAAGATATCAGGTTGGGGGAGTCTTTTCTCTCCCTCCCAGCAACTTGCAACCCGACAGATACTTTGGCTACAACTCCCATCATCCCTCACTTTTGGCTCTGCTGGGAGTTCCAGGCCCAAATATCTGGAAGGCAACAAGTTCCCCACTTCTGCTCTGAAGTCATCCTTTTTGGCTGTGACTTAACTCAATCTGCTCAAGCAGAAGCACAAGTTTACTGACTGATTACACCCATCTGTGCCACTGCCTTTGGCTTGATGCAAAAAGATACAGAGGCAAATCAGAGACAGGGCCTCACACACGTCCCCACCCACACGTGTGCACACAGAGCAACTGGGATTGGCACACTGGGCAAGGAAGGCAAAACAGAAGAACACATCGAGTGATGCATAAGAGAATGATTCCAGAGCGCAAAGTAAAACAGAGCGAGAACAAACAGGAGGAAGCAAACAGAGCCCTCTTTGCTCTCTGCAACACAGATATAATGCCCACATGCTAAACCAGTGAGACCTGGATTTTTAATTGCACAGAACACGCAGCAGTCCAGAAACTGCACAAAGTCCTGACAATCATGGTTGTTCTTGTGACTTTAAGCATTGCATTTGCTCAGGGACAGAGCTGCAGGGGCAGAAGAAACCACACCTAAGAGAATTCTTCCCTCTTAATGGTCCACTGTTGAGCACACGGTCTTGAATATCCTGCCTGATGGAGTACAAAGCGGGCACACAAGCACAACAAGACACACGCATGTGGAGGATCACAGGAGAAGTTTTAATCTTGCCCCCATCTGACAATCAGGATTACTGGGAGGGTGAGGTTGAAGGCTACTGAAAGCCCCGTTTTGCTGGCTGTGCAGGGATGCTTCTTGTCATGTGCCCTCTGGTGGGTGTGGCCGTGGTGGGCAAGAAGTGGGGACACTGGGGCAAAAAGACCAGAGCACAGGCAGCCTCAGAGGGGCCCGAGGGGGTGAGGGCATCTCCAGGACGCTGGCTGCCCACCCCACAAAAAGTGCTTGCACTCAACTAATTAACCAACCCATTAATGAGTAGGTGAATGACTAAAGTCCACCCATGGCCCCAGTTTCAGAGCATGTGCCTCACTGCAGTTCATCAGATACGAAGCACTGGCCCAGTTCGTGTGATCTGACTACACTCCGAACTCTTCTGAAGCAGGGAGAATGAGCGAGGCTGCAAAGGGGCTGTATGGACACACGTGATCCTGTCCCTGTCAGGCTGGCACGTGTGAAAGCAGGCATTATGCCAGGTGACACAACTTGCTCTCTGGCACCGAGCCGTCAACACGGAGAGTTTCTCAGGAGGAAGTCTCTGGCGACACCTTCCAAACAGGAGATAATAAGGACTTTCTACCTGCAAAGCATATGCTCTCGCCACTAAGCTACGGTCCCAGTGCGGCAAAGATGTAGCGCAGCTGCCAGAAAGTCCCTGGCCTAAATCTTGCCTGTGCCATGAACTCACCAGATGGGCTTGGCATGTCACACTGCTCAGCCACAAGCCACACCCTCACCAGGCTGATAAAAAACTGACCTCTCTGGGCATACAGAGAACAAGATAAGATATGGGAAGTGCTGCCTTGCTGGCCAAGGCAGATGGAGAAGTTTAAAATACCAAGAGGACACCAGATTAGGTGACACTAACTAGAGTGTTTATTAAAGGGTATTTCTCAGAAGGAGCAGGGGAGCTCTTAGTCTCATCTCAGAGACTCCTGGAAACCTAACCCAGTCCTGCCCACTCTGCCTTCTGAGACATCACCAGGCTTCCATCTGCATGTTTTCAAGTCTGTCTGCACAGCTATGAGAGTGAGAGACTTCCGCTTTCGGGGGCGGGGGCGGGGGGGGGGATGAAAATGGAGATTTGCAGTGGGAGGGATTTCGCTCCACCCAGTAACTGTTTGGGCAGAGCCTGCCACTGTCTGTCTTAGCAACCGCAGGCGTGTTTGCAGGCTGCGGCTCCTTCCCCACCACCTGCACCTTGCCACTCTCTCAGATGAATCTAGTTATGAGTGACACACCTGAGGAAACAGCCACCTTGCAGTGACCATGGTGCTGCTGGACAAACAGAACAGCCGGGAGCTGCCTCCTCAGAGAAGTCCAAGGTGAGGGGCACACGCACAAGGCCAACCACCCTTCCCAGTCCCCCTCTACCCAAGTCTGTGTAGACTTATTTCTCAGTTTATTTTTTAAAATCCTGTCTCTATCACACCCACTGAAGACAATGTGAAATCAATGCAAGCAGGTAACTCAAGGCACAAAACAGCATCGCGACATGTGGAAGACATGCAAAATGAAAGCCACCGAACCAGACAGAAGAAAATTAAATTATTTGTCTCTGGCATGCCTAACACAGCCTGCTAACCACGCTCTCTACCTTGGTATAGGCTAGATAACTCTCCAGTTTGTTGTTGTTCTTTGCAGGGTCAGGCAGGCAGCAAAACAATGTTTATTGAGCAGCATTCAAATCCAAGAGCCTCTTTAGGCATCTCTTTAGTAAGCAACTGAGGCGATAACAAGATTTGGCTAAAAGAGAGGGAAACCAGTGGGTGAAGCGTGTGGAGTTCATTCAGGGCTCCCCTCCCTGTAATTCAAGCACAGTTACCAAGCCCTTGGTGGGCTGACTTTGACTTGATGGATCACACAAAATGGTGTAGGCCGCCTCCACCCATAAATGTCACACTGTCTGGGGCCCAAACAAAGCACCCCGAATGTGGACACCCTGTCGATTTTTGATCCTTGATTTGTTTGCAATCTCCTCTCCCAGGAAGCAAAAGTGCCTGGTTCGCCTGAGGCAAACGAAGCTGCTCCCAGCCAGCTGCTGCTCCCCTGCTGCTGCCCAGTGGCATTCCTTTTCCACAGCTTGGCTGGGAAAACAAAAGAGCCCACCTGAGAGGTTTGTTTGTTTGTTTAGAGATTTTGTATGCCATCCTTTCAGGAGGCAGCTACAGATCACTAGCCGGTCTCTCATTAAAAATGGCAACTGACAGACAGCTAAGTAGGAGGAAAACTTTGCTGGTGCCAGAATGCCCATCAGTCCAGATCCTTTATAGAGGGAAATTTGCCATGGATTTTAAACAGCATATGTTTGCTGACAGGCTCAGGGTGCCTAGATGGAAAACAGAGGCTTCAGCCCCTTGTGTTTGTGAGGAGACATTTGTAGGAAAACCTATCTGCTTTGTATTGCTTTAGTTCCTCTCAATTTTATGGTCAATCTTTTGTGACATTATTTGCATGTAATTTTGTGCTTCTACCATGCCCAGAAACTCACTAACATTCTCATGTTTAAAAATGAGAACATCCCACATCTATATGTCTCCCCCTTGCTTGCCTTGTTTCCAAGTGGAAAAGCTCCATGCGTTGTAACCCTTCCTCATGAGGAAGTTGCTGCAGCTGCTTGATTATTTCAGTTTCCTCCTCCTGCACTTTTCCTCAATGCTACAATATCCTTTGTCCAAAGGTTTGGATGCTTCTGGATTTTTATGGCAGCTTCACAGAATGCAATGTTGCTAGCTTCTGGGCTAGATCTAATTTGTATATGTTTCAATGCTGTATTTTAATTTTCTTGTTTTATAATAAGTTCTAAGATAACATGTTTTATAATATGCCTTCTTTTAACTGTGATGCTTCTGACATGAATAAAGAAAGAAAAGACCGGGGACCAAAACTGCACAGTATTCCAAATGGAGTCACACTGTAGATTTGTATAAAGGAGCAGTATGATCCTGGAAGATTCAGTCCGGTTTCCTTTCCTAATCATGGCCAAGATGAAATTTGTCTTTTTCAAAGCAACCACATACTGGGTCAACATTTTCAGCAAATTCTCCACAACCCCAGTCTCAGTTCCCATCAGTATATATATGAAGTGAGGATATTTCCGTCCCAGTTTACAAGGAACTGTATTTGCCATTTTGATGCTCATTCTTCCAGTCTGAAGAAAACCTTTTAGGGCTCCTCTTCAACACCCTAAATTTCTTGGTGTCATCTGCAATCTACTTCACCATTCCCTCCTAGTTCCGGATAATTTATAAACAAGTTTAAAAGCTCTGGTCCAAACAGATCTCTGTGGGATCCAAGGATTTGCACCTCTAGCTCAAAAGGATTTACCATTTATCCTGACTCCTTACTCTGCTCTTTAACAAGTTACTGATCTACAAGAGCACCTCTCCTCTTATCCTGTGATAGCTATGTTTGCTCAGGAGTCTTTGTTAAGGGATTCTGTCAAAAGCCCTCTGGAAGTCCAGGTGTGGATCGTCCCACCGCACTACTCTGCTCTCTCATCCGCCTGGCCCTAGTTCTTCTGGATTTCAGGCAAAGGTCTTTCCTACCACCTCATGCCATCATGGGAGATGAAATATGTGCTCTGTCACTGAATTATCCTTCCAACAGGCTTTGGTGAGACTTACCCCCAGTATCCAGCATCATAGCCTGAATGCAGGGTATATATTCAAGGATCCTTGGGAACATGCTTGGGGCAGGAGAACCCAGGCCCTTCTGTCTGCAAAGCTGGTGTCCCAGCACTGGGCTAGGGCTCCTCTACAGGCTGAGACTCTTTCCATGGTGCCTGTGACCTCACAGGTTTGGAAGCACTTCCTTTCAAAGCTAGATCCTCTCCTCCTTCACCGACACTTCTTGACTTCCTTTTGTTGCCACCATTCTTATTTTCTGATACCAGGGTGCAGTAAATCACATGTTGTGCCTTCTTGCTGAACATTTTGTAAAAAAGCATAACACTTTCTATGAAGCTGCGTTAAAGGAAACATTTGTATTCAGGAGGCTGCCTTATATGGAGGTAGACGACAGTCTCGTCAGTCCAAATATTGTCCACCCAGACTAAGGTTCTCTGGAGTTCCAGGCATGTTTTTCCAGCACTCCCTGGAGAAGCTGGGGATTGAACCCAGGACCTTTTGGTGCACAGAGCAGATGCTCTACCACTGAGCCACACCCCCTCCCTGTCTTTCCCACCTGTCCTCGTAGGGCAAGTTTACTGCAGAGCAAATTAGAACAACATACAGCAGGAAGAGCGGAGAGTCTGGAAATCTATTTGCGAATTTGGAGGTCACCAAGTCCAACCCCTTGCTCAGTGTGGTTGGGGGAAGAGGGCGGTGGAACAGTGATGCTCAGGGAGAGAAAAGAGGTGTGCTCTCGTTTTCATTCATGACATTTGAGATGTTCCGATGCACCTGCAGAGGAATCACCTGTTGGCAGTGAGGAGGAGGGCAGTCTCGGGCAACTGTTCTCACAGACTGCTAGCTGCATCCCAGACGGTGATTCAGAATTGGAATATGACACAACTCACAGTGAGATTGGGGAGGATGGGTTAGGTCAGAATTCTGAAATGAAGGAGGCGGAGGTGATTATCGCAAGACCAGGCCCTTTGCCAAGCTAGGCAGTTTCTGGGAACAACCAAGATGTACAGCCAGTGGGAGGGGGCTCTGAGGATGAGGGATTTTTGGACACAGACCATCCCCCCACTGCTCTTGACCCCATGGGGAAGCCCAGTTGAATGAGCAATGTACAGAGAGGAAGTGAGCTCATTTCAGAAAGCCTCTCCCAATGGAATGAGGCCCAGGCATGTTGACAAGGAAGGTTCCTGGAGGTATACACTAGATTGGGTTCACAGAACTGTTTTGTGCATGCTCAGAGATCCTTTCTGGGGGATTTGTACTTGGGAGCCATAAAGAAAGTTTTGCAAGGAAACTGCTCTATGCCTTCTGACTGCTCAAAAGAGGAACCTCTGTTCACGACATCTCCTCGTGATACAATCCAATGCCACCAGGGAGGCACGTGTGAATTCTGCAAACATGTGGCTGGGGGAACTATGTGGCTCCTTCACACCAGTTAGAATCTTATCCAGAGGACAGTGATGGGACAGAACAGACCTCCGTGTCCACCACTTCCCGCATGGGTGCTGCAATCACACGCACCCTTTCACTGCCTCAGCTGGCCATGTCACCGCCGCTGCAGTGACTTCACATGCTCCCGTGCTACACAAAGGATGGTCCTCTTAAGCAGTGTGGGGTCAACCGGTGAGGAGATGCATCTCACACAACCGAGGGGTTTTGAACGAAATCATGGTTCCAGTTCAGTCATAACTGCATCAGATAGCTGTGGACAGTTCTTTCAAACCTTATTTTCTCCATCTGTAGAATACTATAATAATGCTTTTACTGAGTTGTCTCCACAAGGTGTAATAAAAATGTGTTTACTTGTTCTAAGCCTCCAGGTTTGGGCAAGGTTAGAACAAATACTGGATAAGCTAGCTTAGTTCAGAATAAGATTTTAAAACATCCTCCTTTTGCTTGTCCACACCCTTCCTGTCAACAGCACATGGTCCCTTCTTCCTTAAGTCATATGATGTTTTTATAGCTGAACTGACCTTTGATTTCTGCAAGAGAAATTTCATTGCTGTTGACTATTATAGATACCTTCCCCTTGAACAATTAGTATGTTTATAAGCATTCCATGCTATCACAACACCTTAGGCCAATCACAGGAACAAGTTCAATGAGAGTGCTTTAAAAAAAAATCTGCCATGTTTCTCTGTTGGACATGTATAAGCTACACATATTTAGGGCAAGTTGGAGTTGATCAAATGATTATGCTTACTGATGACAATGGGAAATGCAGTCCAACATATCTGGAAGGCAGTAGGTTGCAAAAAGCTACCTTCGTATATATAAGAACAGAAAACTTCTTGACTTCAACACCCCATGCTAGTGAACTCAGCACAGTGAGCTATTCCCTCTGTATTAGGAGAGGGAAGAAACTTCCCCTTTCTTAAAAATGCACCAGAGCTGTCTATTATCTTTGTAGTTGCTATGCATTTACATTTAAGGAATTAAACAAGAGATATCACTAATGTCTCTGTTTAGAACTAGGAAGTCATAAAGTTAATCAAAGTGAAGTTAATGACCCTATGATCTCTTATCTCCCTTTTGGGATTAGATGCTTGAGATGTGTGCTCTGCATTCCATTCTTCCAAATACTCAGGATTGGCAGTCCTGCTTTGCTAAATCTAGAAACTATCCTAGCTGGGTGTACAGCCCATATCACATTTTAAACATGGAGCCCAAAATATTCCTTTTCTACAGAGGGAAGCAGGAACTACATAAGTACAGATGAGGAGAAGACATCAGTCCTGAAGGGCATGTAGTTGCGAGTTCAGGGAAGGGAGAGGACAGGATAAGACTTCAGAGCACACAAAGTGGCTGGCCATTTCAGACCCACCAACATCTCTAGTTTTGGAGGGAGGAGCACAGCTCAGTAGCAAGGCACATGGCTTGCATGCCAGAGGCCCCGGGCTCAATTCCTGTCACCTCTGTGTTATGGTAAGTTGCTCTCTGAAGCCCCAAAGAGGTGCTGCCAGTCAATGGAAACAGACAATACTGGGCAAGATGGACCAACAATGGTCTGATTCAGTACTTAAATCAGCACCCAATTCAGAACCATAAGGACTAGAGCCTTATTTTTGTTACAGGAGAAGGACTGTTAACTGAGTGGCAGGACGTGCATTGTCTACAGGTCTCAGGTTCTGTCCCTGGGAAAGACAGAGGATCTAATGTACGCAGACAAGACTGAGCTAGATGGAGCACCAGCCCAAGTCAGTATTTCCATTACCTTACCTAGCCTAGTGTTCTGTTCCCACAGTGACCAGCTAGACCCTTCTGGGAAGCATGCAAACCCCAACACCTCTTTCCCATTTTCCCCCAGCGCTAAAGTACTGAGAAGTGCATTATTATGAACACGGGAGAATCCACCAAGGAAGTAAGGAGAAACCAGCAAGCACTGTTGCACTAGAGAGGGGGAAAATGTACAAAGCTGCAATGGGAAAGAGGGGCAGGCCAGAACTAGTCATGGGCCACCCTGGACCCTAATTGCAACTTATTTGTTAAAATGTGTATCCTGTGCTTCCATGTAGAAGCCCAAAACAGCTCACATGAACTGTGCCCACTCTCAATTTCAGGCACGGATCTGTTTAGTTTTAGAATTGAAATGGCCATCAAAATCATATTATTCTCTCCATTGTACTAGGTAGAATTTTAAAAGGTAGCAGCACACAGACATGCCAATAGCGTGAGTAGAGATTGCAACTGAACAGAGAGGCTGTCCAAATGTACTTGGACTCCAGTTCCCATCAACCCTGAGTACTATACATTCTGGCTGGATCCAGTGGCCAATGAAGTACAATATCATTTTTAGGGCCACACAGTGCTTGCTCCAATGATGGAGGCATATGAAGGCATGGTGGAAAGTCCCCTCCCTGCTCCCAGAACATTCCAGAAGTAGCAAAGCTTTAAAACTTAACGAAATTAACATTGCACGAAGGTACACATTAACTCAGGTGCTTCAGACTTAACTCTGCACCCCTCCCCACCACCTGGAATGATCACCTCAAGGTATTATTAGAAAAGGGAGAAAAGTATGTCTTTCTATCTTCGCATTTGGTCACAAGGAGACCTTGTGCATGCTTGGAAATATGCCCCCAAAGTGTTTTGCCTGTAGAAGTTTTTATTAGCTTGCCAAGAGGCTAGCAAGCTGTGTTTCCACATTGGCTAAAGAGAAGGGGAGATTCAGCATAGAAAGTTAGGCTACTGGTCTTTTAGTAGGCTAGTTTTTAAAAATAGCTTTCTACCAAGCTGGCTGATGGTGGGCAAGCACATAGTCACCTGTCCGTCCCCTACTTTTCATGATGCTGATGCAGGAAGAAAATGTCTTTGCTTTCCTTAATACAGAAAGCAACCTGGATGGTAGAGGAGGCTTGGTGCAACCGAAGGCTGCCTGTGCTGATCAGGAGACTTGGACAGTACAAGGCTGGGCCTGTGGATGGATCACCAGAAGAGAGGGAGAACGCTTGGATGGAGGACATAGTATGAGGAATCTGCCCTGGATAAATTTCCATTATTATTACATTACATTTGTATCTCACCTTTTTCCCTTCTTGTGAGGAAGGAACCCAAGGTAGCTTATATATATTTTATCCTCACAACAACAAACCTGTAAGGTAAGTTAGACTGAGAGTGAGTGACTGGTCCGAAGTCACCCCGTGAACTTCATGGCCAAGGGCGGGGGATCTGAAAGGAGGGCAGTCAGACTGTTAATGAGGATTTGCTGAAACAATAATAGGCTATACCAGAACTTCATCATCTAGTGTAGAGAGCCAGTGTGGCAGAGTGGTGAGAGAGTTGGGCTGGAGACCTGGGTGCTAGTCCTGCTCAGCCATGGAGCTAACTGGGGTAACTTTGGGCCAGTCACAGACTCTCAGCACATCCTACCCCACAGGGATGTTGTTGGGGGATAAAATTGAGAGTGAGAGGAGAATTATGCAAGCTGCCTTAAGTCCCTTGATTGGAAAAAAGGCAGGCTATAAGTATAATAAATTAATAAATCTAAGCTGGCTGCCAGTCCATATTCAGAACCAATTCAAAATACAATACGGGTTTTTAATCTTTAAAGCCCTGAACAGCCTGGGGCCAGGGAAAGACCACCCCCCTCCATATTTACTTACCATGCACCATTTACTGAAAACATTATCTACTTATTTTGGCATTTTCTCAGCTGTGACCTGTCTGTGGACCCAGCTCTAAGGCATTATTTTTGCAAATCTCTGAGGTTTTGTGTTGTTGTTTTGCCTTATACAGGTGGAAAACCTTTTTATTACCACATCAGTGCATGCACAGATTTTAGTGCTTTAAGAACCCCACAACGCTTTATCCCTGCTGCTGGTTTTACTTTTTAATTTTGTCATGGGCTGATGCCGGTGACTCTATCTGGCCTTTATATGACCTCTTTCGATGTTATCTTGCATTACATGTTTTTTTTAAAAAAAATCTGTACATGACCAGTTATCTTTGATTATTGTGGAGGCTGGGCTACAAATGAAATAAGCAAATATCCCTGTGTTGTGTGGAGGCCTTGCTGCAGGGGGAACCTAATTTGGTCCCCTAATTATGGGCCCCTAGACCTATAAGCTGATCTGGTAGTATCAGTGGGGTGGAGCCTGGCTTGAACCCTCACCACCTCCTCCCATGACTTAATCTGGCCCTACCCATTTTCCTAGTTCCTTTCCCCGAGAAAGTTGCAGCTCCATGCTTATTTAGGCAGGGGGCAAGGGACTCAGCCAGTGCTTGCATGATCCAACCCTAGAAGCCAAAAGTCCCTTTCCTTTGCACGCAACTCGAGGGTTCCCAACCCCACAAGTAGACATCTTGGAGCTAACCAGCCCGGTGGCCTTGAAGTGTGGCCAGCTCATTACAGACTAGTCATTTAGAGATATCATTTAAAAGCATACACAACTCACAAGACATCAGCGGTCTTGCAGAATTAATGCATCTGGCCTGGCCTGGCAGAAGCATAACCACCTCCTCCCAAATGAGGCCCATCGAAGAGGAAGGCATTATTTTGGGAAAGATCTAAGAGTGGTAACCACTGGTGGAAAGTGGCTGAGCCAGCCATACCATGAGGCAGGAAGGTTGTGGCTTCACTGGGCAAAGGCACAATGTACTTCACAACCACATCTAGCTCCACCATCCTTGCTGCTTCCTTTCAGAATGGAAAAACCAATCTGCATAGAAACTCAGAAGCTACTAGGCCTTCCTACTAGGCCTCAGAACTTTCTGAGGACATGGCAACTAGATGGAATAATAGAGTCTGGACGCTCTTCAGTTTGCAGGCCCAAGGAACAGCACAGCATACTGCACATCTGCCCAGAGAGCCAGTAATTACTGTCCTTTGGCTCACCAGCCTTGCTGAGTTAGTGGGCACCTTTGGCTTTCTGCAGGCACTCTCACAAAATGGCTGCCATGCTGGAGGAGACTGCCATGATGGGCATGGCCAATCACAAGATAATCATTTGCCAAAAGGTCAACAGTGAAACCGAAAAGAAAAATAAATTGCCCAAGAATCTAAATAGAAGGCAGAGGTGAGATCTGAACTCCAAAAGCAAATATATATAAGCTTTTGAACCCAAATAAACATAGTGCTGAGGCAGCCCTCCTTTTCGCAGCCTGCCCACTTTCCAGTTTAAAGAAATGGGGAGGGTTCCCCTGTGTGTGTTCAGACAGAACAAAGTGCTGCGGCTCCCAGCATCCCCAGTCAGCATGCTAGGAGTTGTAGGACCTTTTCTCTGTCTAAACATCTCTGCACTCTTTTAAAAAAATATTTTTTTTAAAAAACTCAGGAGGGGCGGAGAGTATATCATGTGCTACAAGAAGTGTCTCTGGGCTCTCTGGGCCCATGGGTGCAAAGGGGGAAGATAAATGTTTGGGGGAGGAGCTCAAAAGGATTCAAAGAACATACTGCAGGCAGACTGGGAGAGGCTGAAGAACAAAGACCGGATGGGGCAGCCAGGCCCGGACCAAGACGGGCACGCAGCACGGTGCCAGAGTGCGGGCTCTGCATGCAAAATGTCCCAGGTTCCACCCTTGAGGCATCTCTGGCTAGAGGCCGCCTCAGATAACAAATAGTGGCAAAGAGCCCTTAATATGATTCGAGGCAGTTTTTGACAGACAGGGAAGATCAGGAAAGAGGGAACCTAGCGTCCTCTCTGGTGTTCTGGACTGCTACTCCCATAAGCCCACAGCCAACATGATCAATGACCAGGGATTCTAGGAGCTGCAGTCCAAAAGATCTCAAAGGAAGCAAGTTGCCAACTGCTGGACCAGCCAATCCTGGGCGAGATCAGATGCATGAGCAGCCCTGACCAAATCTAAGGTAGTTCCTTAATGCCGAAGCAGGAAAGCACACTGACCACACCAGAGAGGCTAGCTGGTCCCACAGAACTAACCCTCCATGCCACAATGAGATGCCCAAGAAGGCCTTATGCTCCCAGCTCCTGTAGCATGTTCACCTTTGGTAAACAGTTGGACAGGCGAAAAGGGCAGGGCCAAGAGGGCAGGTGGTACAACATCTATATCAGGACGCAGATTTGGTTGACATCAGAAAATACATAGTTGACCTAGTGAGGCTGGTCCTCTGATGAGCATCGGGACACCCAGGGCATCATCTTCAAGCTCCTCCCCTTTTCTAATGTCATCATACCAAGAAACCACATTCAGAGAATCAGCAGGGGAAAAGACATAAGAGAACCTGATATTTGGAGAGAAGGAAGACACAAGTTTGTTTGTTTTTCGAAGAGGATGTTTCTGTAGCAGTTGCTTATGCTTATCATCAGTTCACCCAGCCCAGAAAAAGAAGGGTTCCAATAGATGGGGAGCTGTGGAACAGATAGAGAAGAAAACAACCAGCATTTGAAATGCAGGGGGAGCTTAGAAAAGACTTAGTTCCCCTTCCTTGGTTCAGGCCTCAAAGGGAAGAAAGTACGAAGGAGACCAGAAAAGTAAAAAGCTGTTTAAAAAGCTGATGAGGAGGATAGCTTTGCCCAGATAGACATCTTTAAAATAGCAAATGGCAGGGCTGCAGAAGGCCAGTTTAAACATATCTGTCACTTTTATCACCCTGGTTTTGGAAAGAAAAGGACAGCACTGGGGAATTTGTGGCTTTCTAGATGTTATGGAGCTGGCACTCCCATTATTCCTCACAATCTGCTCTGCTGGCTGGGAATGATGAGAACTGTAGTCCAGTATCACCTGCAGAGCCACATTTGTCTCTTCCAGGAACAGGGGACCAAAAAAAGTATGTATTGATTTCAAAGAAGTGATCCAGGCTGACGTCTCTCTTCTAACTTTTGACAGCTACTATTTAAAAATGAGATCGTTGATAAAAAAAGAAAGAAAGCAGATTTCTAAGTTGCAAGAATACAATTTAGCCATGCAAACAAAACCTGACAGCCCTTTCCCCAGACTTACCTTGCTTCTTTGTTTCTGTTCCACCACAACAGAAAGGGCACTTTTTCAGAACCTTGCACACCTTAGGTTTCTAACCCTTGCACATTCATTACACCAAATGCTAAGGCAAGTGGTCGGTTGGGGGGGGGGATAGAAAGCTACTGGGGTCGCTTCCAGGCACTGCTGCCCCACTGAAACCACCAAGCCAATTTCGCGGCGACTATCTTAAGTCCCGCTTATTTCAAGTGGTGTGCCCCAAGCATGAACGAACAATACAATACTACACGTGTCTACTCAGAAGTCAGCTCCACTGGGTTTTATGAGGCTTATTCCAGCTAAGCGGGTACAGAACTGTGGCGAAAGCTTTAATTCAACGCCCTTTCAGAACAAGTCAGAGAGAGAAAAAATAACCAGAAACCTCGCCCAAGCCAGGTGCCGGGCGCGGACTCCCTCAAAGCCCTTCTTGGCTTGCACTCTCCTTAGTCCTCAGCCCCCCCCCCGGGGGGGGGCGCACAGGAAAAGCAGGAAGGCATGGCTCGGCTTTTCTTTCCTCCGCAGCCGGCGGCAGTAAAAAGGGCGGCGGGGGACCCTCCACCATGAAATACCACCTCAAGAGCCTTCCCGCATCTCGTCCCCCCCCCCTTTTCCCGGCCACGTACTCCGATTCCGCTCAAGTGCGGCTGGAAGGCAGAAAGGGGCGCCCCGGGCCAGCCCACAAAGAGCCACACGCCGCCGCCGCTCACCTTCACAAACAGCTCGACCAGGGGCTGCTCCTCGGCCATGGCGCGGTCGCGGGGCGGGGGGCGCTGCTGCGGGCTTGCGACGAGGACCCCGGGCGCCGCGCGGCTTGAGGGGGCACAGAAGGGCGGGCGCCGCTCCCAGCTCCGAGCAACTCTCCCAACTTCGGCGAACTTCCCTCGGCCGCGCGGGGGCCACGCCCAGGAACTGAGCAGGGCGCTCTGAGTCACCGCGGAGAGGAGATGGGCGGATGGCGCTGGGCGTGGGGCGGGAGCGGAGCGGGAGCGGGAGCGGGAGCAGCGCCGGGGCGGGGGGCGCCTCGGCCGAGCCCCGTTCCTCCCGGCCCGCGCTGGGGCCCCTCTCGCCTCGTGCCTTTCCAGCATCTCCCAGCAGCCCTGAGGAGTCGAAATTTGGCGCGGGCTGCTTGTTGGCGCTTTTGAGCGAGGGTGGCTGCGGCTGGCGACGGGTCGTTCTTCTTTCTTTTCTCTTTAATCAGGGTTTGAAAGTGGCCATCGTTTCCGACGAGGGGGTAGGGCACGCACGATTTCTCTTTTGCCCCATCATGGGGCGTCCGGTCAAACTGGTTTCTTACGCTTTGGCAACCATATTTAAAAATCCTCCGATCCTCTACCGCAGGGAAGCGCCCTGGGAGTGGGCAGAAGGGAGATAGGAATATACCGGCAGATTTGCGGGAGATGGGCGAGGATTTCTAACAACGGGTTGCTGCAAGAGTGGGAGCAATTCCTTGGCTTAAATGCTACAGCTGGAAAAAGGAAGAAGGCTTGGGATGAAAAACGTTCCTCGTTATTTACTTGTGCACAGAAGGGCTGCGTGTCGCCTTCAGTTCTGATACGCAGGACAAGGCCATGGGCTCAGACTTCTTGAATTGGAAGAGCGCTACCCACGGTGGCTTTGAAACCCAGGCTGTTGAGTGCGTTGCCTGAAAGCCATCACCACAGGGTGGCTTCTCTGTGGCTACGACGCCATCACCGCACACCATGGCTTTCGTAGAGGTTCATAGTCACCCCTGGTCTTGCCACGCCATCCAGACCCAGGCACAGACACAACAAACCCAGGTGCCGCCCCAAAGCCCACAAAGCCACTGGGCAACAGCAGCGGAAATTCTTGCCACTCCAGTCCAGGGGCTCCAATGGCAATGGCTCAAAGTGCCCAGGCAGCACTGGCTTCCCTGCCTCTGTGCCATAGAAGCCACCCTTGCCGGGGCCCACCATGCACTGCCTTCCTGTGTCCTGCTTGGAGCCAGAGGAGGTGCTGCTCGGTGGCGCCTGCTCCTCCTCAGTATCCGTTCTACTGGATATCCCCGAAGGAAGCCCGGTGCTGCGATTGCAGGCTGATGCAGCAGCTTGGTCTCCTGGCTCTCCTTGGAAGGCCCCAGCAAATGCACCTTGCAGCTGCTCGTTGGCCGGTAAGGCCAGCGGACATCCTGTCTCATCCTTTGCAAGGGACCTGGCCAAACACACCCTCTCCCTGCCTGGCTTGGTGGCCGCTTGAACACCGAGCAACAGCAGGACAAGCCTTACTGTGTCTTTCTCAGGCTGAGCACCATCCACTCATCCCTCCCCCACTCAATGCAAAGTGGGAACAAAAGGCATTGCCAGTATGTAACAAATACTGGTGCATCAGACACAAGCTGCCAGTGTCAATCCTGTCAGAAAGGGGTTGAATGAATGGCAGGGAGCCTCGGACAGCTACCCCAAGGTGCCACTTTCAATTTTGCTCCACTCTGCTCAGCGCTCATGACGTCTTCTGGGATACAGGCAGGAGGATGGAGGGGGGGGGGCTTAGGACCCTTTGTGGCACTCAGCAGGGTGCATTGCTTAACCCCAGGGCAGCTGAAAAACCACCTCAGAGGGTGGAGGATCAGTCTGTTCATGAACTGCCTTCTCTCTTTTCCACCAGACTCCAGCTGGTGGTTCTCAGGGTTATAGGAACTGAACACACACAAAGTAGGTCTCGGAAACTTGTTGTCTGCCCACAGGAATCTCTTTTGGTACAAGCCAGGAGTCTCTGCGTGGGCCAGAGGTGTATCTGCCTTCTCATACAGTTCAATGTGAAGCACACTGTACAGTAGAGAATTCTACTGAAATCAAAGTGATTGGGATGTTGCACTTCAAAATCTGGGTGTGTTACAAGTGTGCGTGCAGTTCAGAACTACAATTAGACAAGTTGTACATGCTTACACCAACTCTTTTTTGCCACATGCATTGCACATTTAAATGCCTACTTTACACATGAAGTTTTAGAAAAGTTAATTCATGAATAAGCCTCAGTAACAGGTTGCAGGGGACCCTAAAAACAGTTGTAACTGGGTTTGTAGAATTGTGGTAAGTAGGAAGATAATGATTAGGAATTATCTTTTCTCCAAAGCTCTAGACTGGTTAATAAATTCTGTACACAATATTTATCTGTTGTGTATTGACAAGCACAATTTCATGGAGGATTGGTCTATCCTTGAATAACCAACCAGGACAGCCCCATGGAACTTTTACGCATGTCTCCAAATGTGTGGGATAAATTAGCTGCTTCTGCGCTTAGGAACCTCCCAAGATATTCAGCAGGATTCTCTTGACTGGACTAAAGGGAGCTTTTGGAATTACATTCCCATTAAGGGAAGCCATATAATCAGGCCTATACAATCAGCCTAAAAATTCTGAGGAAGGAGGTACCAAAAAAGTAAGGGGGCAGTTCATCTGGTTTGTAGTCCTTTCCATTGCAAATTCATAAAGTTTTTTTAAATTATTACTTGCTAAAATATTAGTGGGGCAGGCCTGGCTACAGGCCTGAATACAATAGATGGATTCTCTGCCTTTTGTTCCATTTCCCTTCACCTGCCTTTTGTTCCATTTCTTTTATTTTGCTTTCTCTTTCAGTTTTCAGTTTTCTGGGCTGTTTCTTCATCAGTATGTTGTTATTTCTGCTGCTGCTAATCCCTTAGAGCTATAACAGCTATTTTGGTTAAACTTATTGTTGTTATTCCAGATTGCTAAAAAGATAGCAGTGATGACATGTATTTGCAGGAAGGGAAGGCCTGCATATACCATAAAGTTACATATCTGGGTGTAGAACATCTGACATCTATGCATAATCCTTGAGAATTCAGGGAGAACCCCCTTCGAGGCAGATCTGACCCTTTCTGCTTCACTCCACCAGGATCCTGACTCTTGCTGATTCTACAGCAGAGAGAAGCAAGCTGGTGTCCTCCAGATATTTTGATCCACAGCACACATAACCCCTGAACACTGGTATAGCTCAGAACATCTAGAAGCCGAAAGTTGCCATTCCCTACTCTGCAGACAGGATCTCGAAAAGCAGCCTTCATAGAGAGAGAGATAACATACAAAATATCTTGCACAAGCTTTTGCTGGGGCTGAGAAGCAGTGATTACCCAAGGCTGCATTATGCCTGCATAACACAGAGATAAAACAAGCTCCTTCCTTCCTGCCTGCCTTCCTTCCTTCCTTCCCCCCACCCACAGCTCTGGGGTCCTAGTTCAGTGGTAGAGCCCCCCCCCACACACGCCCCCAAGCAGGCTGCTGAACCAACCTCTGAGGGCGGCATTGTCTGGGAGAAGCTCTGGGGAAGGGGCTGCATTCCAGGGCTGGGCAGGACCAAGCCCAAGATATGGTGAGGGCAAAGGGGCAGGGCCAAATGCCAAAAATACCAGCATATTTTATGCTTAAAGCTCCACTTGTCGGTAGCTGAACTGGGGGAGGGCAAACGCAACACGGGGATCAGCCACCAGGGGAAGGGGTATCGCCCTCTGGGGAGCCCCAGCAAGCTAGTTTATAATCCCTGGAGGGACAAGTTCTCCCCATGGGGTTGAAGCGCTGCACCCCTGCCCAAAGGCAAAACAGGAACAAGGGGAGGAGTGATTCCCTGGGGACCAGAAGATCAAGACTGTTCTCAAGAATAGGGGCAGATACAATCCACAGATGACCCAGGGGCTGTTGCAGGGGAGAGCAGTTATCAGCAGGGACAGAAAAGAGGGCTCTTGGGAATCCCAAATCTGGGACAGGCAGAAAATAGGATTGCTGCTCTAGCTTACTGTTTAGCCTCAGCCCCAGGATTCAACCCCTGGAGTCCACTGCCAAGGGACGGGCCCCCTGAAGCTTTCATTGGGAGCCCTACATTTCTGGGATGTCCTTTGCCCCACCCCCACCCCGCTGATGTCCCTGGGCACCTGCTGGAAGGAAGCAGGGGCCCTGATGTCACAGGGCTGATCCTCCCTGGACGAGGTGGCTTTTTGCCCATGTTTCACCTCCTGCCACTCCCCCTTTGCATCTTTCTGCCTGAGACCTTTAGTGTGTGTTTGCTTTGCAATTAAACGCCCCCTTTCTCCTGTCCCTGCATCTCTCTTTATGAACAGCAGTGTGCTTTGGAGACTGGGTTCATTAGACTAGCACAGAGCATGTGGAGCGGATGCAAGTCGACATGCAAATAACTGCTTCCTGGCAGTAGTAGTAGCAGCAGCAGCAGCAGCGGTTTTTATTGTACAGTCACAAACCAGAAAGACCAATAAAAAGATAAAACAGCCGTAAAAAACTAAAACACATATTTTCGCTCAAGCAAGGGCCCACTTTTTTTCCTAATCTGCGTTGGAGTCATAAAAAAAATTGGCACCATTTCTGGTACAATAAGAGAAAACATCCCTTAAACAAATAGATACCAGAGTGGAAGAATTATTCCTATAAAGCTCTGTTATTAAAGGTTTAATCAATTTCTCTCAGCATTCCCTAGAAAACCTGCCATATACAAGAACATGCTCCACTATTCCTGCTGCTCCAACACCTCAGGAACATACCCATTCATTGACTGAGGCCTTATTACCGGTAAATTGTCCCTTTAATAGTACTGATGGAAACACAGTGGAAGCGACAAGAGGAAATGCTCTTCTGTACTTTGGAATAGTAACTGTCTACAGATATGGGACTGGAGTCAATCCATCATTGTAGCAATTACTGCAGTTAAGATGAAATATTGAGGAACAAGTTTTATTAGCAGCAGTTCTCAAATATTGAAGTCCTCGGTCTATTATTGAACAACAAGATATTTGGACTTCAATAAATAATTGCCTGGCACTTCTGCAGGGAAACCTAGCTGATATAGCATTTCTCTTACCTGTTGGTTAATGTACATATCTGAAAGAAGTAG